CATATTACACAGCCAAATAATCCAAATTTTAGAATCAACATCTATAGACCAAATTAGGATCTAAGATTTAATTTGTTTATTTTTAAACTTTTCTTAAGAAACGACAAGAAAATTATAGTTTGGGAACTTGTTGAAAATTGTCACAGAATGATATTTTACAAAATCAAAACAAATTTTAATTGGGTGATGTTACCAGTTGCATTTTATGGACTATAATATAGTTATGTTAATATTTACAGTATGATGGTTTTCACTCTTGTGTGGACCCTTACGTGTCTTTTTAATGTTGTCTTTTGACTAAATCTTCGTCCACAAAGATCACAAGGAAATGGTTTGTCTCCCGTGTGGACTCTCATGTGTGTGTTTAAATGTATCTTATGACTAAATCTTTGTCCACAAAGATCACAAGGAAACGGTTTGTCTCCTGTGTGGACTCTTACGTGTCTGTTTAAATTTGACTTCTGGCTAAATCTTTGTCCACAAAAATCACAAGTAAATGGTTTGTCTCCTGTGTGGACTCTCCTGTGTATGTTTAAATGTGTCTTAAGACTAAACCTTTGTCCACAAAAATCACAAGGAAATGGTTTGTCTCCAGCGTGGCCTCTCATGTGTGTGTTTAAAGATGTCTTCTGACTAAATCTTTGTCCACAAAGTTCACATGAAAACGGTTTGTCCCCTGTGTGTACTCTGATGTGTTTGTTTAAAGCTGTCTTATGACTAAATCTTTGTTCACAATGTTCACAAGGAAACGGCTTTTCTCCCGTGTGGACTCTTCGGTGTGTGTTTAACGTGTACATTTGACTAAATCTTTGCCCACAAATTTCACAACGAAAAGGTTTGTCTCCTGTGTGGATGTTCATATGTCTGCTTAAAGTTGTCTTATGACCAAATCTTATTCCACAAAGTTCACAAGGAAATGGTTTTTCTCCTGTGTGCACTTTCATGTGTCTGTTTAATAGTGCTTTCCAAATGAATCCTTTACCACAGATATCACAGGTAACTGACTTTGGCCTTGCCTGGACTTTCTTGCCTAACTCTACATTTTTCTTCTCTCCAACACATTTCTCATTAACCTGACAACTTGAAGACTTCACTCCTGAATGACTTGTCATGTGTCTTTGAAGAGTTTGTTGACTGACATACTGCTTACCACACACTGAACAGCTCAAAGACTTGACAGTTTTTACCTCTGATTCAGGAGCCCTGCTCTCCTGCCAGTCTTTGATACCGTCTTCACATTCTGACTCAGAGTCTGATGAGTTATTTAGTGGAAAGTAAACATTGGTCATTTCACCATCCTCTTCATCGTCCTCATTAACGTCAGTCTTTGAAAAGCTGGAACTGTCTTTGTGAGTCTTTAAATCTGGGTTCCTGGTAAGTTTTGATTCATCCTTAATCTTTAAAGGAACTGTAGTGACCAAAACTCTGATATCGGTCACCTCCATATTGAGTTGGTCTCCCGGGTCTTCTCTTCCACTTATGATGAAAGGCTCCATGTTGTGCTGGTCTCAGGCCTTCAATCTTCAGGAGCGTCTTCTTTTAATCAGTACCAAACGTAGGTAGGAACCACTGAAACACATGTACATTAAGGACAATGTTATTTACACACACATAAACACACACAGTTGTGGAATTTCCTATAGGCCCTTTTCACAATTACGTCAAACAACTTCCGTTCTGACTCGCCGCAGTGGATCAGTACTTCCGGGTCTATTCTCTCTCGGGAGACCTGTCTGGAAACTTCACGGAATTTCATTCATTCAACCTTTATTTATAGAGGTTAAATTACAAGGCTCTACCTGGTAAAATAAAGGTGATTGATTGATATAGCGCAAGGTAAGATTAATAAAAACTGTATTTACATGTTTGTTAGCCGTGGTAACATTATCCATCGTTGCAGCAACTTTAGCCACAGTAGCTAAAATATACAACACTGGCTGTCTGTGCTCTAACTTTTAAAGGTTTACTTTCTATATTAACGTTAATAAAAACAGTATTTACGTGTTAGATAGCTGTGGTAACGTTATCCATCCTTATCAATTTACCATTCTGTAATAGGAATGCGCGATATAAATGGTACACGGTAGAAACGATAGAAATTTAGCCTACGATAGAGATCTGTCTTCTACCGGCTAACCGCAGTAATGCTGTGTCTGATGTAAAATCAGAGTTGTCAGATTTAATTGTTACTTTTTTTAGTTGAAAACTGTGCGCAAGTGGCTTTCAAGTGTAAAATCAGAGCTGTCAGATTTAATCGTTACTTTTTTGAGTTAACAACATATTCTTTTGTTTAAAACATATGACTAAAACTACATTTGATATATTTTGCACTGTTTTGCACTACAAGAAAGAAGCCTAATACTTGATTTGTTTATTATTTAAAAACTCTCTGGACCTAGTAGTGGAATTTTCTTAATTCAAAATATATGATGGCAAAAGGATACCCTATGCTTTTTTCATTCCTATTGCAAGTTTTATACCAAAAACAT